ACGAGCTGAAGGAATCCTGGCGCTCTGATTAGTTTTGTTCCCCGGCTTAATTGTACAGCTTCCTTTCTCTCACCACTGATAGCCGAAGTCGCTCTGTGTCTCCCCCCACCTCCCCTTGCTTTAGGAACAAGATGATCACAATGCAGCCTTGTGAATCAATTTTCTCTCTGTGCTGATGAAAGTGTAATTCATTCTTAATCAAGCAGCCTTGCTGCTGCAGGCTTCATGCCGGAATACATTTAGTTACCCTCCCATCACTTTGGGAAACTATCCCCCAAAAGGACTTTTAGAGGAGAGCTGGAGGGAGAGTTGGCAGCGCGCCTCGTGCTGTGGTTTTCCAGCAGGGGGCACTCTCAGGAACGATGCTGGTGGAGGCTTTATAGCTGGAAGCCTTCCTCTGCTGGCAGGGCAGCAGGGAAATGTTTGTCACAGGTGCCTCCCAGGCTTGCTTTCTCCAGACCCTGGGACCATTTCTCAGGAGTACCTTAACGGCCCACCCAAAATCCTCAGGTAGCAGTGAGCAGGAGCAGTTGAGGCTGCAGATGGCATGCCTGGGTTAGAGAGTGCCGGCTGGGTACCAGTTTCTTTTAACCAGCCGCCTCTGTCTTTTTAAGTAGACAGATGTGTCTCCTGAATCTGAACTTGTTTAGATCAGGTAGATGTGTCTGTTTTTGTCACACCACACACAATTTGGGGAGCGCAAGGAGGTGCAGCTCTGCCAGAGTGGAACTCTGCTAAGTTCTCCCCTGCCCTCTTCACAGCCTGCTGGCTGTCACAAACAGCTGGCAGTTTTATGGAGAGGTGGGAATGGGGAAAGGGAATCTGTCAGGGCTGAGTCTTGATGTTGGGCAAGAAGGAAGAGCCAGGCCCCAACAAGTGGATCAGCTGTGAAGATGAATGGTAAGATAACAACAAAGCCTCACAGATCTGCCCCAGAGGAAGAAAAGGAAGTTCATCTCAGAATGGAATTGGATTAGTGACAGACTTGAGCAGCCGGTTCAGTTGAGAGAACTTAATTCCTCCTGTGTTATTCACGCGGCTGATTCTAATCAGATGTGAAGAGACAGCTGGAGGAGAGCAGTGGGTCAGCCGGTGCCTGGTGCGGAGGCTTCATGTTCTTGTAGGCACATTCAGGGAACTGGCAGGAGCGCTTTGGGTTGGAGACTCTGAGCAGGGCCCTTGGGTTTATAGCCTGCCCAAGGAGCTGGGCCCGGCTGCAGGACTCCCATGGTTGGACCTCGTCTAGATTCAGTGGGAGTTTTGAAGGAGAGCGTGTGGCAGATGTCACTGGTCACACTCACCAGAGCTTGGCCCACTCGTCTTCAGAAGGATTCAAAGGCAGTTGACCAGACTTGGTAGGTCCCAGACTGGTGCAGACATTGTCCTTGAGACTCTGCTTGTACACCCTGAGGTGCTCTGCTTCATCGCCTGCTGAAATTTGGAGACCTTCTCTTCCTGGATAACCTTCAACATACACATTGTATATTCGAGGAATTCCCCACCCTCTGGGGGACTCCACTTTCCAGGCAGGCAAGGCTGGGGAGGGGAGGGCTCTTCCTGGATTGCCAAAGGGAGCACGGACATTTTCGTTTGGAATTCGGAGAGGGGATGGGACTCACCAGAGTGGCTTCAGGGCTCACAACTCACAGTGCAACATAGGACAAGGGAGGGCCTTCATGGGACTCTCTCCACAGCACCTTCTGGCTCTCGAAAACAGGTGCTGCTGGTCGCTGAGCTGGAACATGTACCTAACGCTGGCGGGCCTGCACACCTTAGGGTATGAGAGCATCGCAGGGGAACCAGGAAACTTGTTAGCCGGTTTTCACGTGTTTAAAAAGAAGACGTGGAGGCAGAGTTGATTTTATGAAGGGCTAGCTTTTTGCCATTTCTTCTGAGCTTTTGCCTGTTCCTTTGTGAATACTTCCTGCCTGTGGCTGTGCTGCAAATGTGGCAGCCAGTGAGCTTTCTAGAAGCAGCAGATGGTGAAAGATCCACAGGTGAGGAGCCTGCCCACTGGAGGGGTGAGGTAGTGCCCAGGCAGGGCGTGCAGGTGGCAGAGCTGTTTGTGTGCCCCACGGGGAGGCTTCCCAAGCTCTCTGTAGAAAAACTGTCCAACGGCGAATGGCTCCCCTGAGCTTCTACCTGCAGGAAAGAAGCCCAGGGACGCTCCTTGTCTCACTGCCTGACTTCCTCACCTGCTGGGGTCTGAGATAAAGGACACGCAGAGGTGGAAGCAGAGCCACGGGCGTGGCTGGGAGGGCCACTCCAGCAGCCGGGAGGACCATTGTGCAGTCAGTTCTGACTCCCGGGTTCCTGTGGGGATTGGAAACTACAGGACTTGCACACGGAGGGTAAAGGGTGGGGTGGCAGCAGCCAGGTCTGTCTGTGGGCCAAGCAGTGGTGGCAGAAGGCTCCCAGGGCCCTTGGGCAGCAGCCCTTGCTGACCAGTGCAGCCAGGTCTCAGCCGCCTCGGTCTGGTGGGTCTGCCTTCCCTCTGACCACCTCAATGCCTTCTGGAAGACTGTGGCTCTCTCTCCTGCCCACTGGCTGTGGTGCCTTCCTACTTCTGTGTGGGCAGACTGATTTCCCTCTCTACCTTTCCTTGTGGCTGAGGCGAAGTTCCTGCTCTTGCAAGATAAGAGGTGGGGCCGAGGTGCTGCGGTGCAGCTGGGGTGGGGCTCAGGAAGCAGCCCGCCCACCTGAGAGCACTCTGCATCCTAATCAGCACATGCTCGAGTCACTGGAATCTGGTGCTGCTGGCGCTGCCAGAACCCTCCCCTGGCACCTCGAGGGGATAGCCACCATGCTCCTTGGGTGGAGGATCCAGGAATTCTTGGAGCCAACATTTCACAAATGGCCAGGAGCCTCTCAAGGCCCCCACAGCCTGGGCTCCCTGCCTGGGTAAGTGGCCAGAGGCCTCATGGGGGCATCACTTGGCCTGCCTCGTAGGCATGGTGGCCAGCACCGTATGCGACCCTGCTGTTTCCTGCACCCCTCCCTAACAAGCACCCTGTTCCCCACTGGAAGGAGAGGAGCCAGGGCTGGGGAGGGGAAAAACATGATGCTGCTATTAGCAATACAGCTGCCAAGTTCCACCATGCGCCAGGCACAGTGCTGAGCGCATCACACCCCACCCCACAAGGAAAGGGCTACCATCGCTCCCACTTCACAGTGAGGAACTGAGGCCAGAGGGGAGCAAGTGACCTGCCCAGGGCCACACGGCTGGTCAGTGGCCCAGCTGGGCCTTGTACCAGGCAGCTGACTGTGCCTGTGTCTGACTGAAAGTGGCGTTTAATTTCAGAAACCTGAGTGGAGACACTGGGCTCACATCCTTGCATTTAAACCCCCTCCCATTTATGCCGCAGTAGATCCCTGGCAGCTAAATCTCTTCCTCCTCTCTTCCTTAGTGACCATCCTTGTTCACGTCATCACAGGGCACATAACTCCTGGCCCTTCTCTTATTACATTTAGGGAAAAGCCGGTCCTGACACAGCTCCCTTCTACAGGGAGTTCCACTTAGGCAGAAAAGCGCTTTCCGTTCCCTTCGGAACCGAGTTTTCCAGAGGGCTCTGAAACGAGTTCCACTGAAGAAAGCAGCTCAGCTGCCTCCCCACATTCCGCTTGTTAGTTGAGAACTTCAAGGCCAAAAGATTTGGCAGGATTTACAGAGCCGCTCTCAAGCTGTCTCATTCTGAGCACACTAATGCTGCCTGTCTTCTGATGGTGAAGTGGTTGGCTTGGGGTCTCCCTCCCCTTCATGGAGCCACCGATAGGACTGAGGACTTTTCACATGCAGACTCGAAGGGTCAAGAGGATGGGCCAGACCATCTTGCCTGCCCCACGGCAACCTCCAGAGGAAAGAGGCTCAGAGAGGTCAAGGCTGTCGGCGGTGAGCTGAGCTGAAGAGTGAGCTCCCGGACCTTCTCAGCCTTGTGGGGAGCTCTTGCCTCTCCCACACACCTCACTGTTTAGTTATCATCATAGCCAACGTACCGGTCACTTAAATACTGTTGGAGCTCCTGATTGGCACATAGCACTAAGCCAGGTATTTTGGGGGATGTGAAGATGAATGGGTGCAGACTCCCTGCCCTCCTCCCCCGAGCTCCTGCGGGAAGTCCCGGAGCTGGAAATGGAACATGGCCACAACCAAGGCATTGATTTTAGGAGTCAGCAGAGAGCAGGGAATAGGGAGAGTGCTGGCTCCAGATGCTTCTGTCCAGTGAGATGCCTGGAAGTGGCCCAGAGTCAGGGGCTTAGGAGGTCGCAAACTTCAAGCCAAGAGCTCAGTCCCTGATCCGCCCCATCCCCTTCCACATCTCCCGTCTCTGTCCTTCTTTACGTTGCTGGGCAGAGCGCTGCCCATGTGCACCAGCCCTCCCTGCCTGCACCAGCACCGCTGAGAAAGCCATTGCCTCCCAGGTCGTGGAGAGAAACCCCTTCTCAGCTGCTGGGCCGTGGGCAAGTTTGCTTCGGGACCACCTGGGGAGCCAGGAGTAGAAGAGGTGAACTCTTCCTCACCTGCCACAGGCCTGCCTTGCAGAAGGCCACACCGCCTTGCCGCAGCCATGTGGCCAGGGCATGAGGACTAAGATACTTGCCCTGCCAAGCCCAGAGGGGATGAGCAGCCCCAGCTGGTGCCACCACAGACAGCACATCACAGAGGTGGCTCAGGGGCCTTGGTAGACAGGAATGTGAGAATCCATTCAAATAGCCAGGGATCTCCGGTCCTCTGTCAAGGGGCAGTGCTGATGGCTTGTCCTGATGGCGTGCCTCTGCCCACCGGCCCTCCCCTTGCACTTCCTCATTTGTCACCTCCTAATTTGAGTTCATGGGCAAATCTGGCTGCTTTTTAGGGGCTGACCGCCAGCTTCTTGAGCATCTATTTGAACAGCCTTCCCTTTCGCTCCTGACCACCTTTGAGGTGAGTCCAAGTGGCAGGACAGGACCCTGTATGACAGACTATCTCGTGCCCTCTCAGCCTCTTCTCTGCTTTCTTACAGCTCACCTTGCAGAGCGCCAAGTCCCGAGTGGCCTTCTTTGAAGAGCTCTAGCAGGTGACCCAGCCACCCTAGGACCTGCCACTTCTGCTCCCGGCACCGCCCGATGGACCAGACACCGAGAGCCATCCGTAGGGAGCTGGCTGGGGGTTTCCGTGGGAGCTCCCGAACTTTCCCCAGCTGAATGAAGAGCCCAGCCTCTCTTATGTGCAATTGCCTTGAACTACAACCCTGTAGAGATTTCTCTCATGGTGTTCTAGTTCTCTGACTTGAGTCTTTGTTTTAAGAAGCATTTGTCTTCCTTTGTCTAATGTGGGATTCCTGACTTCCATTGTCCGAGGCTCCCTGGGGTGTGTGTGTCTTGGACTCCAGATCTCCACCACCCATCCTAGGAAGCTATTGTAGGGAGTGGGATACTGAAGCCCTGAGAGGCCAGTGCCATCACCCCTGCTCCACCCAGGGTTCCAGAACATTCATTCCCCCAAGCGTGAGGACCTGGCATGCAGTGAAGTAGCCCAGCCTGGCAGAGCCCAGGCCTAGCACGACTGCCAGCTTCTCATCGTTAGGGAGCCCGCCTGGAGCTCGTGATGAGCAAGTGTTGGGTCCCGGCCAGGCACCCTGAGGCAGCGCTTCGGCTGGCAGCTGGTGGGGAATAGGCCAGGCAGCTGTGGCTGGGAGAGACTTTAGGCAGAAGCTGTGATGCAGGCTGACTGCCAGCCGAGGGGCTGGGAGGCACGCAGTGCCGTGCAGGAGCTGATGGTATGGGGCACTCCGTGTTCCCCTCCAGCCACCCTAGACCAGGGTCCGAGAGGTAGGTGGGAGCCACTCGCGTCTTGCCCGGCAGCCATAGGCACGTCTACCTGTATGGGGCTGGGGCACTGCCTGATCGTGCTGTAGTTAGCACCTGTAACTCGCTATGACCGAGGATCTGGAAGCCCTGTGGCCCTACAGGCGCGGCTTCTCACTGGCCCAGACTCCAAGCTCCACCAGCCCGCTCTGCACGGCCCATCTGCTTCACCTTCCCTCCTGGCCACATGCCAGTGGGCACAGACCACTTCCCAATGCCCTGCTGTACCCAGCCCTCATTTTGCTATTGCCGTTGTCCCCCTTCGGGCCCTGAATTTTCTGTTCCCCAGGGGCCAGCCAGCGCCCTTTGTGCCCCTCCCAGCACAGGCTTGTTGCAGGTGTCCACCCACAGGTGGCGCTCACCCAGGCTGACACAGGACCCACCTCCATACCAGGCAGAAGAAGGTCACAGAACCACCCCCAGGGCTCACTCAGTTCACTCACTCCTTTGTTTTTTTGTTTTTGTTTTTGTTTGTTTTGAGATGGAGTCTCTCTCTGTTGCCCAGGCTGGAGTGCTGGCACAATCTCAGCTCTCTGCAACCTCCGCCTCCCGGGTTGGAGCAATTCTCCTGCGTCAGCCTCTGGAGTAGCTGGAACTACAGGAGTGCACTATCACACCTGGCTAATTTTTTTTTTCTTTTCTTTTTTTGAGACGGAGTCTTGCTCTGTCACCCAGGCTGGAGTGTAGTGGACTGATCTCAGCTAGCTCACTGCAACCTCTACTTCCTGGGTTCAAGGGATTCTCGTGCCTCAGCCTCTCTACTAGCTGGGATTACAGGTGCCCACCACCATGCCCAGCTAATTTTTTGTATTTTTAGTAGAGTTGGGGTTTCACCATCTTAGCCGGGATGATCTCAATCTCCTGACGTCGTGATCAGTCTGCCTCAGCCTCCCAAAGTGCTGGGATTACAGGCATGAGCCACCGTGCCTGGCTCTAATTTTTTGTATTTTTAATAGAGACAGGGTTTTGCCATGTTAGCCAGGCTGGTCTCGAACTCACACCTGGGATTACAGGCATGCACCACCACTACCGAACCCAGCCCCTTCTTGCCCTTTCTTTTCTCCATGGCTGATGCTGCTATGATCAGCCAGGGCCCTTGAGATCCTTCCAGTTGGGCTATTATGCAAAGCAGGTGATTGTCTTAATCAGATAGAAGACTCAGTAACTGGAGGGGCTATAGGGGCCTAGAGATTTTTGGAGAGCAGAGTCAGTCTCTGGCAATTCCATCTGGTTTTGAGAAACTGAGACGCTCACAGAGATCCTGCCTTCTTCCCACTATCAGGCTGACCTAATGGGGTCAGGCTGCTCAGCACCTGCTTGGACCACCTTGCCCCCAGGAAACCAGCCCTGGGTGCCACCCAGCTGCTGAGGGTCTGCAGGGTGGGACTCCAGACCTGGAGCCTAAGTGTGGATGCTGTGCCCTGTGTCCTCCTAGTCTGTCCCAGCCAGGAGCAGAAGCTTCAGGCTTTTGTAAAGTGAGGTCTGACTCGTGTTGTGGCTCTGTCTCCTCAGTCTTTTTTTTTTTTTTTTTTTTTTTGATGGAGTCTTGCTCTAATGCCCAGGCTGGAGTGCAGTGACGCAATCTCAGCTCACTGCAACCTCCACCTCCCGGGTACAAAAGTCTCCTGCCTCACCCTCCCAAGTAGCTGGGATTGCAGGCGTGTGCCACCACGCCTGGCTGATTTTTGTATTTTTAGTAGAGACAGGGTTTCACCATGTTGGCCAGACTGGTAACTCCTGACTTCAGGTGATCTGCCCACTTGGCCTCCCAAAGTGTTGGGATTACCAGTGTGATCCCACTCCTCTGTCTTAAAGCCCATCCTTGGATTTCCACCAGCAGTTACTTTCCTCCCGACCTGTATATTTATTCTTTAGGCCAGGTGCGGTGGCTTAAGCCTGTAATCCTAGCACTTTGGGAGGCCGAGGCAGGTGGATCACGAGGTCAAGAGATCGAGACCATCCTGGTCAACATGGTGAAACCCCGTGTCTACTAAAAATACAAAAAAATTAGCTGGGCATGGTGGCACGTGCCTGTAATCCCAGCTACTCAGGAGGCTGAGGCAGGAGAATTGCCTGAACCTGGGAGGCGGAGGTTGCGGTGAGCCGAGATCGTGCCATTGCACTCCAGCCTGGGTAACAAGAGCGAAACTCCGTCTCAAAAAAAAAAAAAAAAATTTATTCTTTAACAATGACTGCGGGCCGGAGCATAATGGTGGTTTATAAAAACTTGTGGGGCTTTGTTTCCTTCTTTAACTGCTGTGTGTACTTCTTAAGTCTGGGAAGTGCCATGAGGCCTCAAGGGAGCTGGCCGGTGGTGGCAGAAGCACCTGGGACTCCAGGGAGCAGGCTCAGGACTGCAGGACCTCACTCAGCCAGAAGCACTTCCCCCTCCTTGAGGCAGGAATCCGAGGTGCCTCCCCCACAGACGAGAAGGTAGAGAGGAGGATGGGCCCCAGGTGGGTCTCAAGCCCCAGTAGCAGGAGAAAGAAAGAAAGAGATATGCCTGATTTTCAGAGACTGGTGCCTGCAGCTGGGATGACTGTGTCCTTTTTAAGTGAACATTTTAGGGCCTGGGAGCTTGTCAAGTAAGGAAGTCTCAGAAGCCCATAGAGTGAAATCACCTAGCCATGGTGATTTCATCACGAGCCCTTCTGCCGGCTCTTGGGCAGAAGCCCCATGGCACTGGGACCCTTCATGAGGTCACTGCCCAGCTCATGACATGTGCAAGGCTCCCCTGTTGGCCGGTAGCCATGCACAGCTGTGCAGCACAGACGACTTCATTCATCCTGATTGGGGCCCCACGTCAGCCACAGCAGTCCCCGCCCTGTGTTATCCACCCCGTTATTCATGTACCTGCCAGGCCCTGCTGGACAGAACCCGTGGCATCACATAACACTTAATGAGTGGCTGCGTCTTGTAATTTTGGGGACAGGTTTCTCTCTCCCTCTCTTTTTCAAAAGCCCAGAGGCTGACAACCAGCCTCAGTGGCTAAGTGTTCCTCACCGACACCCCTGGAGGGAGCAGCCTTGGCAGGGAGCCAGCCGGGCCCAGTGGCCCTGGGGCCAAACCCGCCCTCCAGGGCTTTCAGGGAAGCGCCATCCATTTTCAAAGCTGTCAAACATCACTTCTTCCTGTAGGGCCCGAGTCCTGCCTCCTGTCAGGGCCAGACCATGGAAGGCTATTTTCTATTCTGGGGAATGATTGTAATTTAAATGATTGTTTTAATAAAAATTCTAAGCTGGAAAATATTTGCCTTGGGCTTCCTCAGTTTGCCTGTTGCTCAGGCCATTGAGGGGTCAAGCAAGCAGTTGGGTGGGGGGGGGGCCGTCTCATGGTTCTGTGGAGAAATGAGCCCTCTGCTGTACCTGACTGCCCGACTCTGACCCCTTGTCTTTGGTGGCAAATGAATCACCTCCTTTTGGCTGGGCTCAGTGGCTCACACCTGTAATCCCAGGACTTTTGAGGCCAAGGTGGGCAGATCACAAGGTCAGAGGTTTGAGACCAGCCTGGCCAATATGGTGAAACCCCGTCTCTACTAAAAATACAAAACTTTAGCTAGGTGTGGTGGCTCATGCGTGTAGTCTCAGCCACTCGGGAAGCTGAGACAGGAGAATCACTTGAACCCAGGAGGCAGAGGTTGCAGTGAGCCGAAATCATGCCATTGCACTCTAGTCTGGGCAACAAGAGCGAAACTCCGTCTCAAAAAAAAAAAAAACAAAAATCACCTCCTTCCACAGTGCCCCTAATACCTTCTCCAGGGAACTCCCTCTTTCCAGGAGAACTCGGCGAGGGCCCCGCATGGCATCCCAGCACCTCCATTTCCTCTCTGTGGTCCCTGCCCATCCATGATTTCAGACTAGAAAACTAAGGAACTGGATTGGGCAATCCTTATAGACATTTCCACTTTCGGCATTCCAGGCTCTGGGGGTGCAGGCAGAGCCCCTGGGGCCCAGGCGCTGTCTGCAGAGTAAATGGGATGCAGCTGCTGTCAGGCTACACGACATTCGCACTTCACATTGGAAATTGCCACTGCAGAGTTTCTGGTTTGGGTTTTGTTTCTATTTTCTTAATCAACAAAAGTCCTTTATGAAGACCAAAACTTCTATAGGATAACTCTGTCCCGAAGCACTGCGGCCCCAGCCGGAGATTCACATGGCACGGTGTGGCTGCCAGGACTTCTGAGGGACCCATTCTACATACTTGTCAGGACGTACTTCAGGTTTCCATTGCACAAGCCAGTGGTGAAAACAGCCGATCAAAATACACAAGATCTTTCCAAAATGTTGGAGTTCACTGTCTTGGTTTTTTTAAGAAAGATGTTTAAAGGGGATAGACTAGAGAATATGAAAAGTGTTTAACAATTTGTTGTTAGCTTTGAATATATAGAATTGGTCAACCTGGGCCACATAGAAAGATCCCATCTCTACAAAAATTAAAAACTTAGCCACGTGTGGTGGCTGCATC